GAGAGAGAGAGAGAGAGAGAGAGAGAGAGAGAGAGAATTATTTGAGACCTGGAATTGAGCGGAAAGTTATTGACATTTAAGACACAGACAATAGTGTAGTCAATCTTTTCCGATAAGTATTGAATAACAAAAACAAAAAACCTGGGCTTAAGTTATCGTTATGTGTGTTTTTTTGTGGCTTTTTTATCGGCTTTTTTATATACACGACACACACAGCCATACAATCTCTTGGCTGTGATTGCATTTCGCTCTCACGTATCGATTATTTTCTACTTTCGGTTTTACTTTTTCATTGGCTTTATTTTGTCGGATGTCTTGCTATACATCTTCATTGCCGTTACAAATAGACTCTCCGGTCTGTAAATCCGTGCAAAGAGTGCACTACGGAGTGGCCAAAGGGGAAGAGGCGAGGATTGAGTGCGAAGTGGACGCCGACCCCATCGACGGACTCGTCTTTCGCTGGACTTTTAATGGGACGGGAAGTGACGGCACCGACGGTGCGGTCAAGTTTGTGACCGACGGCAAGAAAAGTGTGGCCACGTATACGCCCCGCGAGGACATAGACTACGGACGCATATACTGTTGGGCCGAGAGTAGCGCCGGTAAACAGCGAGAGCCCTGTGTTTTCTTTGTCATCCAAGCGGGTATTGTATTATATTTTTTGTGATAACCTATTTGTAGCGCTAATTTAATTGACAACTTATTGATTGGCAACATATTTAGGACCTCCCGATCCGCCCGACAACTGTTCCCTAACCAACATAACCGCTCACACGCTTACCATTGAATGCCTGCCCGGATATTCCGGTGGTTTGGATCAGATGTTTTATTTGGAGGTCTTCAGCGCCAATCCGAACCGTCTGTTAGCGAACCTGAGTTCAACGGAATATCCATTTTTCATCGCTCACGGATTGCCGGCCGGCTATGCCTTCCGTCTCATCCTATACTCGACTAACACGAAGGGAAAGAGCAAAAGCATTACCGTTACCGGCAATACACTACTCGCCGCTCAATGGAAAAGTGGTTTGTGTTTTACATTGAAATTACTGTTTAATTTTCGATAACTAAACCCATAAACAAGAATATTCTGTTACCATATTATATAATTGACTATAAAAACAGTGACAATGCAAACAATAATGAAAGAGATATTCACGATTGCGATCAATACGGAAGACAATTATTTAAGACTCACTCACACACTCTCTCTCTCTCTCAATAGACTCGAGACGACAATTAGTATAAATAACACATTATTTTTCTAATTTCACACAAAGACATGGATTTCAACTTAACTTCTGTTACAATTTTCTTCACATAAAACAGTTTCACTGAATTTGTTATAAATTTTCTACAAAATCAGATCAAAAATATTTTAATTAACATTGAATTTAAGATAACTTTTATTTTATTTATATCAGAATTGGATTATTATTTAGGCTTAAATTATTGTTTGCTACAAAATAGTGGAAATAAATGACAATTTTTAAGCTATAAACTTATTTAACGAACTGTGGTCTTAATGGTAGAAAAATAGTCCTTTAAATCATTAAATGTTTAGTGAATAGAGATTGAGAGAGAGAGAGAGTGTGTGAGTGAGTCTTAAATAATTGTCTTCCGTATTGATCGCAATCGTGAATATTGAGAGAGAGAGAGAGAGAGAGAGAGAGAGAGAGATTCACGTAAAACTATAATTAATATAAAAGTCGCTTCTAATCTATATATAATACTTCACAACAAATCCATGTATTATATCGTTGTATTATATTTATGTTGAAATGCATTGATTTTTGGCCAAAGGAATCAAGTGTTGAGAGTTTGAGACACAAATCGCTACACAATATAACACTTCCCACTGATTAACACCAATTGTCTCTTACTATAAATAATTGATTTCTTGTTTTTATCCACACTTTTTTCATTTTCTTTCTCTCACTTTCACAACCGATTTGTGTGTTTCCACAGACGATGTCGAGGCCATAGAAATCAGTCCATTCCTAACCGTCTTAATGATAGTCGTCGGCGCTCTCATTGTGTTGGCTATCATTATAATTATGATTATGAAAATCAAGTCCGAAGAGGAGTTGAAAAGTAATTTAAATTTTGTAGTTTATGTTTTTAATGTTTTCTTTTTAGTAAATAAATAATGCAAAGAATTCAGTAGCGAAAGAAAAGTTTGCAATTATTTATTAAGTGCAAAATGTTTGTTTGAAAATTAAATATTTACTTTAAAAACTTGTTTTTCAAATTGAAATTTCAGACCGGAGTCGAGAAGTAGTGCCGACGGAGAGCGCAAAAACCACTCCACGATCTATAATGAAGTATTGATGTTTGAAAGTCACTGAATATAATCACGTATTTCTAATTATAAATAATTTTTTCACTAATATTTGCAGAAAACCATCAAATATGCAAAATTCACACTATAATAATAGGGAGGGAACGTGTCATACAATTAAGATCAGGGATTCAATGCAAATGAGAGGTATGTTTAACCCACACATAGTGTTTGCAAATTGTTTGACAGATTTTTACACATTTAAAGTTTTTTTAGTTTTAGTAAACAAATCATTCAATGTTTAGAAAATAAAATATTTATACCTTTAAAATTTATTAATATTTAATAATAATTGATTTTCAAATAACAACACAATTGAAAAGTGAAATCCTATTTATAGACTGAAAATAAAGAAGTTTACGAACAGAACCTAATTCTCGGTGTTTTTGTAAAATTCAATTTAAAGTCAGAAAAACATATTTAACACAAACAAAACACAAGTTAATTAAATAAAAAACTAGAATTTCACAGAATTTAATGATTAAATTGCTTTAAAACACAACTGTCAATACAAAATGTAAACCATTATTATTTGTCCAGAAATCACTTCAGTTATCGAAGAGAACGAGGAGATGGAGACCGAGGGCTCGTTCTCTGTGTGTAACCACAGCTCAACCCCATTGACAATACGAGTGCCTCCGCCTCACCAGTGCTTCTATGACGGCTCAATCACTGCCGCCAAACGCTGCCAAATGGCCGCCGATATGCAGGACCTGTCAGTCAATTCCGGGCCATCCAATCGAGACCAGACAAACCACTTGTACTCATTCAAACACAACCACATTATACCTCATAAGGTCTGTCAAACGTGCTGAGAGAGAGAGAGAGAGAGAATTATTTGAGACCTGGAATTGAGCGGAAAGTTATTGACATTTAAGACACAGACAATAGTGTAGTCAATCTTTTCCGA